CGAACCTGGGACCTTTCAGTTCGCAGGCCGATGCTCTATCCACTGAGCCAAACCGGCTAGGGCGGCCTTTAGATCTTCTTAAAGTTAGAAATTTTAAGAAGTGGAATTAGAACATTAATGCTTTATGTTAACATTATTTGGCCCATGGATAACACCCTACCCTGATCGGACAAAGCTGGGCCAAGCCCTTTGCACAGACCTGGGCGGTTCTATATGAACGCCCGGCTCACAGGCTAAAGGCTTTCCCGATGAACTATCAGGACACTTTCCTGTTACTGCTGGGGCATCTGTACTAGACACGGATATTCCTTCCCAGGTCTTGGAGACTCCCTTCCCGAGGTCCGTGGACCCGCAGGCTCCTGGGCCTGTGACTGCTGCCTGTTATGAAAAGGGACAATTAATATTTTTAAGTGGCACTCTGATGACGTTTAACTCCCACAGTAATGGGCTCCTTGCTTAAGTATTTCTGAGTCTTATTTGGTGCCTATTAGAGATATTTTACTTTTTAAATATATATATATTTTTATTGATTTCACCTTGACTGGAATCAAACCCGGGACCCTTCAGTCCGCAGGCCGACGCTCTATCCGCTGAGCCAAACCAGCGAGGGCTGGAGACCTCTGAACAGGCCTTCACCTGGGACTGGAAGTTGCTGTTGGCCATGACTGACGTCCCCACGGACGCTGCCGTTCCTCGGCCCTCCCAGGGTTTCCCAGTGAGAGATCTTATCTGAAAGCCACGGAAGTCGATGTGGGAAGCAAGTGCCTTTTCGCTCTGAATCATCTCAAGCACTTACAATGCTGTTTTCCTTCCAAACAAGGTCGAGAGGCAAGTGGCAGGAGGAAGGGCCACGTCCTGTGTCAGGTGGGAGCCAACGCTAATGGCACAACCAGGGGCCGACCAGAGACACGGGGCTGGCACGGGGCCCCTGGTCTCTCCAAATCAATACCTCAGCTATTCTCCTTCCCAGGAAGAGTTACTCGGGTGCAGCACTCACTCTAGATCCCCCGGGAAGAAAACGGCCCAGCCCCTCGGCCCGAGAGGGTGGCTCTGACTCGGGAAAGCATCAGCCAGAATTCCTGAGTCCCAGCTCCCTCTCAGACCCGAGGACGGGGCCTCTGGGACGAGGGACAGTAAAAGCAGTTGGATTGTCCTCATCTCGGCGCGGACAGCGACACCGCCAAGCCGGTTAGGAACAGCAGAGAGACCAGGAGGAAGACAGCTTCTGAACAGGCCCAGGAAGGACTGGGACTTCAAGGTCATCCCTCGGAGCACACACGGCTAAGGCACAGTCTGCCGCCCTGCCGCGGCTTCTCTGGTATAAAAGCCTACAGACATTTGCCATCAAGCCCGTTCATCCGCCTCCATTCAGCTCCGGCCTCAACCCGTCTCACAGACGGGCCCTCCAAACCTCTCATTTCAGGAAAAGCGAGGGCAGTAGCTGGAAATGCCCCTCCTCAAAGGAACCCTTTGCAACCAGCACTGAAAAGTCTCGGATGAGGGAGACAGACACGAACACGCTGACGTCCTGGCAAAGCAAGAGCCAGCCAGTCCTCTTCATCCGAAACAGGAGTCTCTTCTGAGTCCTCATCTCGCACTGATGCCGCTGGGCCCGCCAGCGAGGCGCTGGGCCTGGGCCCCGACCTCGGACAGAGTCACCGTGTGGAGCCGCAGACTTTAGAACTGCTGTGAGAGGCGCCACTGGGAACTTTCCCTGTGACAAGTGTCAGAAGGAAAAAACAGTCCATACTGAGCTGGAGACCAACCTAGACCAAAGCCAGGCCCATAAAGGAAGGCCTCTTCCGACAGGCAGGCCCCGCCTGTGCTCTGATGTGCACTCTTCCCTAAACCAAACCTCCTCTGCCCCCCAGTGCGTGGCACTGGCTCCGTCTGCGTGAGGGCCCCTCGTCCCGCTCACCCGGCCCGGCCTCCCTCGTCTCCAGGAGCTGCCGGGGTCCTAGGAGGCTGCTCGCAGCTCCACGTCTTGTGAGCCCGTTAACGAGCATGTCAGTGAGATGATCACTTCTGGCTTTGCACCCGACTGAAATCCCAAGTACTTGATGTAAGATGCAGTGCCAACCTCAGCCGAATTTACTAAGCAAGCTGATAATTAATGAGCTGCAAACACTCATTTCCTGCCGCACATTAGCTGCTGCCTCACTCTTACATTTTAATTGAGCTTTCTTTCCCATCTCATTACTCAAGTATTAATAAACTTCTCAAAGTTTCTTTTAAAAAAAGATCAAGAGACAGTGACAAACAATTTCACAAATAATGCCGAGGATAATGGCGGTGGCGGCAGCGGCTACCGGCCAGCGCGGGTCCAGGCTACGGGCCTCTGGGCTGTAGCGCCTTTAATCCGCAGACGCAAGCGAGACAGGAATCGGTACCACCGTCCTCCCCTCACAGAGGAACCTGGAGCTCTTAGAGGGGAAACATGTGCCCAGATCAGAAGCTGTTACAAGACTCCAGCAGGGCCTGAAGCCAAGGCCGCCAGGTCACAGAGCCCAACACCGATGACACTATCTTATAGAGACCGATGGCACACACAACCACCGAAACAGCAAGAAATTACTTCTTAAGTAATGCAACTGATTTTACTGAATTCCTCCATATTGCTCAGTTTTATGGTGAAGGTGGACTCCCCCCTGATTTTTATAGTCCGAGAAAAGGAATAGCTTCGATATAAAAAGTGCGTAGCATCCATCATACCGAGTAATAATCTTTCATTGTCTTGGTTAATCTGGAAGGCTGGGTTATTGTACGCTCTGAGGTTTAGAATACGATGATCTGAAATGGTTGTTTTTGGAAATCCTGATTTCCAACGACATAACATAAAAGGCACCTAAAAGCTGCTTTCTTTCAGTTTTTGAATTAGGCCACATAATCATCCTCACAGCAGCAGAGACAGTTCCAAGTGTTACCATAGCAACTGCTTATGGAAAAGGGAAAGTAGTAGCAGTGAGCAGTGGCCTGACACTAGAGCCATAACTCATCATGTCACCGGCTTCCTCCTTCACACGCGGGCATTCGTTTTAGCGAGATTTCTGCAAATTCGTTGGGCTCCCAAAAGTGTTGGCTTTTGTCACTAAGATTTTAGTGACCATCTCGTCTGAAAGGATCTCACGACCCAAGAAATCAACCCACAGGCAGAGGCAAGAGGCATCTGTCATGTGGTCAGAGATGCTTATCACCTGACTTAGAAAAACAACGTTACCAGACAAACACGATACCTAAAGAATCATTTGCCGGTTCTCTTATTCATCTGGATTTTCTAATTACATTTAGAGATAATTATTTCTTAGAAACACTAAGATGAGACACATTTTCTATTTGGTGAATCATAACAGCCCTGAACATACTGGAAGTAATTCCTCTCTGGTGAGGGAGTGAATACATTCATCCCTCACAGATGAGCATATTCCGTTATGTGCCAGTTCAGGATATCTAGATTAATTTTCAAAGGTTCTGACAAAATGTTTGCCTTTCAATGAAGCATGCACAAGAAGGTCGCTTTAGAGGTAAAATATGGCAATTACTGTTAAATAACACAAAGGGACAATTGAAGACATATTTGGGTCAAGGGTTTTCTGTTAATCTGTTTTGCTTCCTCTCAGCTGCTTCTAGCATGGCATTCACTGCTGCATACACGATTTCTCCTAATTAAAAAAGCCACCTGTGCCCCCACATTAAAACACGCGGCTCTGTCCTCTGACGAGGAGTCAGGTCCCGTCCCCGACATACTGCCATAGCAGCCTGATGCGAGCCGAGCCACGAACCCTTCGTTCCTGGAGTCTGAGCTGACACATAAACTAGGAGGTTGAGCCAGGTCGCCTCATTGGAAAACCAAGAAAATATTCATCGTTCTTAGAGAGTGACGTCTCTAAGCCACCTGAGCCTCATCCTGGTCAGCTTCGTGAACCCCAGTGGGAGACTCAGGAAGCTGGACCCGGAGTTCGCGACGGCAGGCCCAGCGACCCTCACCTCCTGGGGGCGGCTTGGTTTTGGAGGTGAGGATGACGAAGCCGAACCCTTCATTCTCCTTCCGCTGCAAGACGACCTCGTAGGCCTCCGGGGGCGCGGGCCTGGCCGCGGCGTCCGCTCGGTTCAGGCGCGGAGACCCGTTCTGTGTCGAGAGGAAGGCTTGGCCGCTGTCATCCTCAGGCTGTTTCTCTACAATAAACATGATCAATAACATCGTAATTTTTTGAGCACGAAAGCGTTTTTGTGCTTAAGCTTGTCACACAAAAAATAGTTCCCAATAACAGAATAGAAAAGCTGCCCGCCAAGCTCTGGGCATAATCTGAGGGCAGATGCGGGCCTGTCCTGTCCGCGGACTGAAACACCTTAAGGTCAACAACTGGAGAAATACACAATGGGACTCACTGCCAAGGGGGTTTTCAAAGTTTCTGTCAAATTTGATAGGAAAACAGTTCTTGAAACCGTTAGAATTCCAGAAAGGTTTTACCCTTGACCAGTAATTTTAACAAGTGCCAATGATGAGAAATGGCACAGTCAGCTTCCCTTTAAGATCAACTTTCAATGGCCCCGAGAGGCGGGCTGAGATTCATGACGCCTGGGCAGCGGCCGCACCAGGACAGGGTGCCGCCCATCACAGGTGGGACAGCGCTCCCACACAGCGGCGGCGTTTAGGCCGCAGTTTCCTGGTGATGACACCAGGCGAGGGAGCCAGGAGCAGTTCGCAGGCACGTGGCGAGCTGCCCACAGAACAGCAACCTCTCTGGGCAGAGTCGGCCCACGGCGTCCCCAGCAAATGGCGTTAACCTTCCCCTTTTTCTCCAAGGATTTTATCCTTGGAGAAAGAAGAGAAGTTAGTCCTAACTGATTTTTTTTAAATAGGCAAATTTTGTGCCATACATTGATACAAGCCACCGTTAACAACCACAACACACCACCATCGATGACTACACAAGTACATTGTCTGTTTTGGCTCAAAATCGACACGATCCTAGGACTGCTTTTGAATCTCAACCAAGTGCCACCAACATCCAATCATTAATGAAAAAAATGAAGGATTTCGGGGCCTAATTCACGGTCAGGATGAATTAGCTAAACGCCTCCAGTGATACCAAGTGGGCCTGACGCTGCCTCCGATGCCGCCCCGGAGCGAGCCAGCGGCGGGTGGCCAGGCCGTTCCCCTGCGTGTGGTTCTGTTCCGAGCCCAGGACCACACGGAGGCCACATGCACTGGCACCTGTGTGCACCCCTAAACGCCCCATCTTCCCGAAGCGCGGCGGGCTTTGCTTAGGATGCTGCCATCAAAAACACAGCGCCTCGCTCTTTCAGGGTAATGCAAAGACCTTAATCAATAAAGAAAAAAAGGGGTAATGCAAAGACCATCGCGTCAGCAGACACTGGACGTCCTCACTGTGTCGCGCGGGCGCTCCTCACTGAAGGGGTCCGTGCCCCCACCTCCGGGGGGCTCACCGTCCGCGCTACAGGGCTGTCCTTTTAAGACTGTAAGTGGCAAGAATTCACCTCTCAAAATTCCTATCTAACATTCACAAAGCTGTTGATGAGAAAAATGTGAGAGAGATTCGTATCTGAGTGCACAGTTTAGACGGCGGGCTCTGTAATTAAACACCCACTTCAGTCCCCGCCAGTTCTGCGTCTCCCAATCTTTCTGGGAATAACTGTAAGACCAGATCATGACAGTATTTACACCACAGCGTTGTAAAGGTTAAACGACAGAATCCATAGGCCTGGGACACAGTAAGCACTCAATAAATATTAAATTACATTATACCAAAACTTCTCAAGTGGAGGCGTTCTATCCTCTGAATATGTAGGATTTCATCAGGATCCAAAATCTTTTGATACTCAGCGAGTGGGACGCCTCAGTACGACTAGGTAACTTTGTATTTGTTTTCAGAAAGCAGGTTTAACCTGGTAAAATCATCAATATATTAATCTAATTTTATTATGGACCCCCACCTTTTTCTTTTTTGACAGTGTGATTACTGTTTCTGAATCCTTTTGACCTTCCATGACCTTCCCCAATGAGGCCCTGGGTCCCGCCCAATGGGCTGTCTCCCACACTATTCCACAGATTATGTACAAGAACCTGCAAACCCCCCGCCCCCCGGGGAAGGGGGCCGGGTCTCTGTTCTTTTTAACTCATCGGAGCAGCGGGTGCGAGTACCTCCGTAGAAGATCTTCCTCCTGACGGTTAGGAGCACGTGGCCGTTGCGAGCAGCCGTGGTCATGAGGTCCAAGACCTGCTTGTGGGACTTGCCCTTCACGGGGATCCCGTCGATGCACATCAGCTCGTCGGCCGCGCGCAGCCGGCCGTCCTTCTCGGCGGCGCCCAGAGGGATGATGGCCCCGATGTAGATCTGACAAGACAGCCGGCCAAGTCCCTTAACTACTGAGTGAAGGCTTCCCGACCCAGCGCTGTGCAAACCGACAGGTTACGGCAGCTCACCTCTGGGCCGGTCCTATTTAGAAAGGCGACATCGTAGACCAGTGATGGCGAACCTTTTGAGCTCGGCGTGTCAGCATTTTGAAAAACCCTAACTTAACTCTGGTGCCGTGTCACATACAGAAATTTTTTGATATTTGCAACCAGAGTAAAACAAAGACTTCTATTTTTGATATTTATTTTATATGTTTAAATGCCATTTAACAAAGAAAAATCAACCAAAAAAATGAGTTCGCGTGTCACCTCTGACACGCGTGTCATAGGTTCGCCATCACTGGTGTAGACAGTGGCCGTTCTCCACAGCGGCCCTGTAAGTAGCCACACCATCCCTTCTGGGCCCTCGGGGTGGGGCACGAAGAAGACAGAAAACACCGAGTTGCGCAATAACTTGAAAAAGTGCCACCATCACCACCATCACTACAGCAAAACCAAACCATGAAACTCAAAAGCCCACTTCCGTGGGGCAGCTACAAGAGTAGACAAAAGTCTGTTGCCATCAGGAAAATCTTTCACACGCTGTTCACAGCAGCTGGATAATTCTCACGCCGCTGCCGTCGCTTACCGCTATCAGTCCAAGTTCAGTACATCACACAGAAGCATTTCTGGTTCCTAAATCTCAAAGCAGTGACTATTTTTAGGGGACAGAGTGGCTAAGGTACAGCGGCTTCCAGGTGAGCGTGTCTAGGTCATCCCGCTGGCTGCAGGTAAAGTCCTGCAATTAGGCAGGCCCCAGTGCTGGGGCTAACTTCAGAGCTGCCAAAACCTGACATTGAAGGGAAAGGTTTCTTCCAAGTTGTTTGAGATAAATTTTTAAAATGTCTAAATGACCACTATGAGTGCCAACAAAACAGGAAGCAATCCAACAAAACTCTCTTTTAAAAAAAAAATATATTTTTGTTGATTTTAGAGCGAGAGGAAGAGAGAGAGAAACATCAATGATGAGAGAGAAACATTGATTAGCTGCCTCCTGCACGCCCCCTAGTGGGGATCAAGTCAGCAGCCCCGGCATGTGCCCTGACCAGGAATCTAACGGTACCTCTTGGTTCATTTGCCGATGCTCAACCATTGAGCCACACCAGCCGGGCTCAAACAGAACTATATCATCAGAAATAATGAAGGTTCCTATGCCTGGCCTACATAGGGGAAACTGTATTAACTGTAACCGATAGGACTCACTAGGACACATTTATACGACAGCAATCAAATGTTCTATTCAGAAACAGAAGGAAGCCTGTCATTTGAAAGATTATTGTTACTCACCTAACTTCCAAGCATCATCATAATTCAGTCTTTCTTGGTATTAGACAAAAAACCCACTTCAATACATTTTTAAATTCTAAAGAAGCACATTACTTCTTTGTCATTCAAACTAAGGGCAGAACTTAAAAATGATATCCACCACATTTGTTCTTTAATTTTACACGAGCATCATGTATTAATAAAATTCTAGATTTTAAATGCTTTGCAAAACATAACCCTCATGCTTTCTGGACAGAAACATTAATTATTTTATATCTTTCTGGTTTCATAGGTAACAAATGAAATGGCAAATTTCTGAGCATAAAAATGTCAACCCATTAATAATAAGGCGAGTAATACGGATGAGGTGACATAATATTCATGGCTCGTGCCAACTGTTGGCGGAACATTCGGAAGATAGAGTGACCGTGGTAAATAGGATTTTGAATTACAGGTTTCTTAGAAAAGGAAAATGCCTTAAGATCTCTTTAATGAAGGCAAAAGGAAGGAAAGGGTTTTAAATAAGCCCTAGGCACATAGAGAAATTAATTCCTGTCTAACTGACAGCCAACATATCCAGTTTTCACCTCCAGCTTTAGCTGCACCAAATTAAGGAGGGACTACGACACTTAATAGAAATGCAATTCTTCTCATGTTAACGAAACTGACAGAGAAAACAAAATCTTTTTAAAAAAACAACAAACAAAACCGAAAACGACAAAAACACCCTCTTCTACCAAACGGCCACTTAACAGCTGTCCCAGGAGCAGCCGTGTCCCCAGGATTCACACTCACAGCTTGGTCAGGGCCGTCTCCTCCCAGCACCCGGAAGCCGAACCCCGATTCCTGTTTCCGGAGAAAAACATCCAAGTCTTTGGTGTTTGGCGCTAAGGAAAACCAGAAGATATTAAATACATAAATAAATACTGTGGTTTATGTTAAAAGGAGTAAAATGAAATTAAGTTCAGTATTTAGTAGGAGAGTATTACAGAGTTCAATAAACTACATCCTTAGAATGTTCTGAGATGCAAAAATTTACCCAAGAGTAAAACACCACAAAAAAATAATTCAATTGTAAATCTTTGCTTTGAGTTCCAAACAAAACTTTGTATCAAGATTTACCCTTATGCCTGGCCGGTGTGGCTCAGGGTTGAGCAGTGACCTATGAACCAGGAGGTCACGGTTTGATTCCCAGTCAGGGCACGTGCCCGGGTTGCGGGCTCGATCCCCAGTGTGGGGCGTGCAGGAGGCAGCCGAACAATGATTCTCATCGTTGAGGTTTCTATCTCTCTGTCCCTCTCCCTTCCTCTCTGAAGTCAATTAAAAAAATATATAAAAAAAGATTTACCCTCACATTCATGTGCTCAGTGCTAACACTACCATTAACTCCTCATGCCTTCAAATCAGCATTACGATATTAAATTCAAAATTACCTAACTTAAGTTTGATATTTGATAGTGTAAATTACCTAAATTAACACTTGGGCAAATCCTGGAAAAAGAGAGTCCGTAAAATGTCTTAGTTCTGCTCCTCACCTAATGCTTTGGTTTCAGAAAAGCATTCCACATGAACTGCTGACTTAGCCTAATTTTGCAAAATGATACTATTTTAAAATAAGTAACGGGGCCCCATTTTCTAGCTGGGAAAACTGAGGGCCCAGCGTCACATGGAGGGAAATGGCAGAGCTGAGGTTTAAACGCAGCTTGGTTTCCGTGGTCTGGCTCTTAACCCCAAAGCGGGTAATCATCCGAATAGTAAGTCAGGAACAGCGACTGCATGACTAAAATTTTATCTCTGCGAAAGCATGAATGCTACTTGTAAGTAGGAAGCATTTGCTAGGAAGGGAAAAGAGAGACATGTCAGGGAGTAGTGCTTTCAAAAGTGAGCTACCGTATAGAGTCATTCCTGACAATGTTCCTTAGAAGCGATCTCTTCTGAGAAATACTTGCTATCAGAATCCTAGAACTTTAGAGATAAGAGGCCTCATGAGCCCAACTCATCTATTGTGTGGGTGAGGCCCAAAGGGGCTGACTAGTTTCAACCAAGTCTAAGACTGGGTCAGGCCATGAGTGGGATCTGAAGAAAGGGATTCTCCATAGTTACACTAATTTAAATTACTGCTTCGCGGTGCTTATGCCTGGTTTGCCTCTTCCTTGAATATGGCCTGGGACAATCACCATGAACATCTACAATTGGTGAAGTAAGTATGAAATTAATTATAACATTTCCATCTACGTACATCTCTTCCAAGGTAGATTTAGACCTTTTTCCTAAAAACAAATACAGTGGGGCCTTGATTTACGAGTTTAATTCGTTCCGTGACGGAGCTCGTAACTCAAATTACTCGTATGTCAAATCATAAAGTGAACGAGTGAGACAAGTGATGCTGGGCTGATGTTGTGGCATTCACTGTGACGTTCGCTGCGCCAACTAGCAGTGGGGTATCTCTGGCTTGTAACCCGAATTTTAGCTCGCAACTCAAAGCAAAATATCGGCTGAGAGATGGCTCGTATCTCGAAAAACTCGTTAGTCGGACACTCGTAAGTCAAGGCCCCACTGTACATTAAAAAAGCAAACCTACTTCAATCTCCAATTTTACTTCGGAAGAGGTTAGCATTAGTAAGTAAACGAGGGTGGACCTGAATTCCTGCCTTACGCTCTCCCCCCATCTCTCAGCGGGACTCCGCAGGGCGCGCTCCTGGGTTCCTCCTCAGATGGCACACCCTCTGCGTCATCACCCTCCACACCCCTGCCGCTACGTCTTTCTAAGACACAGTCCAGTAGCATCATCCCTACAGTCAAACCATCACCGGCTCCCCTCATGCCTCTGACCGACTCCAGCGCTCAGAGCGGCGCCATCTTTTCGGGTGCAGGGCCTACGTAACCTATTTATTTATCTCTGTATTCCCATTACTTTGATGTTGGGTAGATAGTAGCTGGTTTTCCTCTTCCTTGAATATGACCTGGGACAATCACCATGAACATCTGTATTCCCATTACTTTGATGTTGGGTAGATAGTAGGCCTATGTGGTTTTGAAAAAGAAAAGAAAATGAATGAATGAATGCATGTTGAATGTGAATGGAAGAAGCCCAGAGTCATATTAGGATGGAATGAAGAAATGACTTTTCAACATGGTTTTGAAAGATGGTAGGTCCCAGTTTTTAAAAAAAATTCACATTGATTTTGTCGCATGCTCTCCTGAGACATCCCACAACCACTTACGTTTATCTTCATATAAAGTCTTGGACTTCAGGTAGACCTCCGAGGGGTCCAGCTTGGGGGACCCGGACCGGACGATGCTGGGTGGGAAAGGCAGAGGCTGCGGCATGGGCTCATTCACGGCCTCCAAGCTTCCCGAATGTTCCTTTTTATCCGTTTTCTGAAATGGAGAAGGGCTTTACTTAGTATTCTAAACAGCCAGATGGTTGATGAGCTCATAAAAAGGTTGTCTAAACCGGGTATGTCAACTGATGGTGGTTGTCGAGGGGCCGGTCGACACAGTTCACTACCATTAGAAAAGGCTCGCAGGGATGTCAACAGCGAGGCCTTAGGTAGCCCTGGCTGAGCCCTCCTGCCCTGTCCTGCACCCAGACACACGCTGCTTGGAGAGGAAGGGAGGCCGGAGGCAGCGCTAGCAGCGCGTCCGAGGGAAGCAGGAGGGAGACAGAAAATTCTCGAGAAACTCCCCTCCCCACTCACTGGACCCAGTGCCCAGGGACGATGTTGAGGATGATATTCTTTCTACGCGACTGGACAGGAAGTGCTAACTAACTCCGGCGGGGAAGACGGCCCTGTGGGTACCTCCGTGGCCGATTCAAGCGTCGGGAAGCAGACGCGCCCCTGCCAGGCCGGCAGACGGGGGAACTGGAGGAGGACAGTTCCACGCTCCCCCATTCAGACGGAACTTGCGCTAAATAATAGCCAAGCGAAATGAGCTCTTTAATAGCATCCTAAAAATGAAGCCCCATGAGCAGCCTAAGAAATAAGTGTGGTTCTGAGAACAGCGTGTCCTGAATTACTGTGAGGAGGGGGTGGGAGATGAAATAATCCACCCTGGCGGGCTGCAGGGGCGCCGTCTGTCAGGGGGCAGTGCGGGGCCTGCCCTGCAAGGTGAGGGACCCTTCGCTGACCCGGACCAGGCGGGGGGAGGTGCGGACAGCCCCCCCACCCCCGCCCCAGGCGCCCTGGGATTCTGTCCGAGCAGTGGGGTCACCGGAGACCTCCCTCAGTTCTGAAGCGTTAGGGTCACCGCGCTGCACCAGCATCCATTATGAAGCAGAGACAGAAGCACAGGGGTGACCAATGATTCCTGCGGGAACCAGAGGAACACAGGAAACGACAGTGCAATTTTAACTGAACAGGAAAAAACGAATTCCGAGCACACCGGGCCGGAGTGGTACAGTCTCTATAAAAGGGCAGAGTTCCTTTCCTTTTGATCCGCAGAACAGCAGGTTTGCGGAGGACCCCACAGGTGGGTGAGGGGAGATCCATCCCTTTCACCTCCGATGGTCTGTCCTTTAGCAGCCCCTGGTTTACGGTTCAGCACGACCACCTCTCCCTCGTGAGAGGACAGACTCCAACGCAAGCGAACGAAACGAATTCAGATTCACAGTGAAGTGTCTGTGCGTCCACACCCACACCATCGTGGCTACACTCGTGCTGAAGTGAGCGGCCACACGGTGCGCCTGACCCGGTGTCTGCAGCATTATTTGGTGCCTCCTTTTTAGGTCTCATTCTCTACACGGGTCCTTCAGGCGGCTCCTCGGCGACCCAGGGGGATGCTGAGGAAACGCTGTTTCAGGCTGACAGCCTGTCCCTTTGACAACAAGCGGCCTGCGCACAGGGGACCACAATTCCCTAGAGTCTGGCTCAGTCCTCCATGCGAGGTCACCTGCATGTGGCGTTTACAGCCCCATGAGACTGGGCGAGGCAGCCACGTCTTCCCTCTGGGCACAGGGAGAGGAGGCGAGTGTCCATGGCCCTCCGTGAGCTCCTCTCCAGGCAGAGCAGGGCCCTGAGCAGGCACTGTGCCCACGCTGCACTGCTGGGGGGCAGGCACTGCTGTCCAGGCCTCTCGTGTCCCTCCACACACACACTGAACCCCGAGAGCACCGCTCTCCTCTGCGGGCCTTCTTCTGACTCCCCCGCTTCCCGGAGTGTCTGACACAGCCCGGCAGGGTGACCCCAACTTCTCCCGTCCCGCAGGCACCCCCAGGGGGCGGTCCTTGCAGAGGGGGCGGGGCAGTGTGCTGGGAAGGGGCGTTCGAGGGCCCCTGTGTACTCACCGTTTTGGCAGTTTTCGTGGGTGAAGGAGGACCTTAAAAACAAACACACACACAAGCCGAGTTTTAAAAACAGAGGAAGCATGTCCAGGTCACAAATGCAGTTAACGTGCAGGATGATCTGGCTGCGACGGTGTGGGCTGGGCGGTTCTGTCTGGCACCTCCTGCGTGCCAGGCCTCGCACACAGATGACCTCATTTCATCTCTGTGACAATCCTGAGGCATAAATGCTACGACCGTTTTACAGATGAGGTAACCAAGTTCAGAGAGGGTAGCACAACTTCCCTACACCGCACGGCCAGCGGGGAGCAAGGCAGGAAAGTGGCGTCCGGACTGCGCCCAACGCTGGTCTGCTACGTCCGCCGAGACCGGGGACCCTCCAGCCCCAGCAGAGAGGCTCTCCCCGCACCCTCAGCACCTTCTGCCTCACCACCCGGAGAAGAAACAAATTCATTCAAGAAATGAGAATAAGGGGAGGAAATGCCCCAATGCAGGTACACTTCTCATGTGCCTCAAAAAGGAAAACTAAAAGCCAGAGAGAGAGAGAGGAGTGGAGGCCAGATTTTATTCTTCCGAGCACCAGCCACGCTCCGGTGTGGATTTAAGGAAGCCCGTTAACATGGGAACGGGATGTATAATCGCCCGGAGCAGTTCCTGTCGGCTGAGGACCTCGGAAAATAAAAACTTTATTTCTCTCACGTGAGCACTGTGGGGTTTAATGAACCTTTAAGGATAGAGACTAAAGCTTAAGGTGGAAGCAAGCTATCGTCACTGCTCCTACGGAGCAGGTGAGCGCACTGTCTGACCCTCCGCTCGGTCCCCGCGAGCCGGCCCCTCCAGCATCCCTGCACGTCACAGAGGTCCGGGCCGAGCACCAGGGGTGGAGAGAGTCAATTTCTCCCGTTGTCATTCACAGAGAAAACGAAAGGAAGAGGATCTACTTCACGTGAAGTAGCACAACTCGACTGCACGGCTGGGTCTCTCCTCTCATTAAAGCCATAAATCAGAGGGAAGGGAATCCAGCATGGATAGGAGGGAAACCATTAATAACTAAAGAATCTGCTGCAAAGGGTACTGCTTACGGAAGCAGTCAGACAGAACCTTCCGGAACATGCCCACGAAGGGCCAGCTGAGTCTGCTGGGAGAAGACCTTCTGCGCTGCAGGAAGGACAAGCAACAGATGAGCATGGGTGAGCAGCGACCGTCGCCGGCTGCGCTTCACTCACCTCCTCTCAGGATGAGCAGGGGCACGTCCGCGCCCACTGGGAACTGCTTCAGCACCTCGACCACTTGGAGGTGCGTCAAGTTCTGCACGTTCTGGTGGTAGATTTCCTTAATGACGTCCCCCTTCTGGAGGCCCGGGCACCACTGACTGTCCAGGATCATCTTCACCTTCTGTCCGGTGGGGCTGTCAGCAATCGCAAACCCAAAGCCCTTAGGGCCCTTGATCAGAGGGACAGTCACGAGTTCGGGTTGGGAGCTGGCCGAGGAGGCCATGGACGCTCGCTGCTCGCTCGCGTCCGACGGCCCGTTGAGACGGTCACCGGCCAGGACCTGTCCCGGTTTTCCATTCTGGTCCAGAGCCATCGCCCCCGACTTAAAATCCTGAGTGTTCTCGCCCTTGGTCAGTGACTGTCCGTTGATGACGGGAGTAGCAGCGACCATGTCCACGGCAGGGTCTTCGTTGTCGTCCGGGAGCGGGTAACCACGACACAAGGTGAGGTTGACATACTGACTGATGGGCACCAGCTGGAACATCTGGACCACATCTGCGTGGGTGTGACCCAGGACGCAGCTGCCATTGATGTCGACAATAACATCGCCTGGTAGAAGATAGTCGTGTTAGAAATACTGCAACCACCAAGTAAGTTCGTTTTTATTGTTGGGGGAGACAAATGTATAAATCTTCATTATCTTTGCAGCAAAGGCTTATGACCTCACACTCAAGGGAAGCATGCTGAGAATAACTGGAAATTCATACTGTCATTGTTAGCATGTCCTCCGAGTCCCACCCACGTGGCCACACAGGCTCGGTGCGTTGCAGTGGGTGTTCGGTACACAGACGGGGAGAGCAAGTACTCCACTGACTACTTGTACCAACAGGTCATCTTTAAACACTGCCTTGTTTCTTGACTTTTAAGAAGCCATTAAGATGTCATTAAAATTCATAATGTAGGGCTAAAGATTAGACTAATGTTGTTATGAATTTATTTTAGCATTTTTCTTTTTCTAGAGTTTCAATTTGCTGTCATTCTGATTTCACAAGGAGAAGCAAGCCACAAAAACAGTCAACAGAAGCAGAGAACATATTAAAACACTGAAAAGTCAGCTAAATTAATCCTGAAAAGTTGGTTTTGCTTCCCTGATTTTGCATTATTACAACCACTGCCACTTGACATTCATCAACTGTGTGTTTTTAATGCAGCCTTAAGTTTTAAAACATGTGCTCTGTTGTCTTATCCATTTGCTGCTTTTATTTTTTTGAATATGACTAGTATTTAAAAGGTTATGATCAGCCTTGGCCAGTGTGGCTCAGTTGGTTGGGTGTGTCCCAGGCACTGAAAGGTTGACTCCTGGTCAGGCTCCTGCATGGATTGTGGGCTCTATCCCAGGTCAGGGGCGTGCAGGAAGCAGCCAATCAATTATATTCATATTCTCTCTCTCTCTCTCTGTTTCTCTCTCTCTCTCTCTCCCCCCTCCCCTTCCTCTCTCTGAAATCAATGACAGGTCATCTTTAAACACTGCCTTGTTTCTTGACTTTTAAGAAGCCATTAAGATGTCATTAAAATTCATAATGTAGGGCTAAAGATTAGACTAATGTTGTTATGAATTTATTTTAGCATTTTTCTTTTTCTAGAGTTTCAATTTGCTGTCATTCTGATTTCACAAGGAGAAGCAAGCCACAAAAACAGTCAACAGAAGCAGAGAACATATTAAAACACTGAAAAGTCAGCTAAATTAATCCTGAAAAGTTGGTTTTGCTTCCCTGATTTTGCATTATTACAACCACTGCCACTTGACATTCATCAACTGTGTGTTTTTAATGCAGCCTTAAGTTTTAAAACATGTGCTCTGTTGTCTTATCCATTTGCTGCTTTTATTTTTTTGAATATGACTAGTATTTAAAAGGTTATGATCAGCCTTGGCCAGTGTGGCTCAGTTGGTTGGGTGTGTCCCAGGCACTGAAAGGTTGACTCCTGGTCAGGCTCCTGCATGGATTGTGGGTTCTATCCCAGGTCAGGGGCATGCAGGAAGCAGCCAATCAATTATATTCATATTCTTTCTTTCTCTCTTTCTCTCTCTCTCTCTCTCTCTCTCTCTCTCTCTCTCTCTCTCTCTCCCCCCTCCCCTTCCTCTCTCTGAAATCAATGAAAACATATTTTTTTAAAAAATCAACATGAATGGTATTAAAAAACATTAGTCTGTGGAAATTTGCCCATAATCTAAGAAGATACAGAAATTAGACTAATTAGAAACAAACTTTTGACTTTTCCTCCCCTAGTTAAAAATCCCAGAATTTTCATGGAAGTATTATATTGCTGTGCAAGTTAGATAAATTTAGACAAATCTGAATATTATGAAATCCCAACAGCATATACAATGTCCACTTCATGGACAAAATGTTCAAAAAGTCAAAACTGAGAACTAAAAAAAAACCCCTTATTATTCATTTTAATCTCTAGAGTTTATTTTATAAAGTAATAGAGGAGAGCTAAAAATAATTTTCTTTACAAATACAACTTTTGATTATTTCAAGTTTCATGTTTTGAGTCTCTATCACCTAAATGGGAAGGAATAATTTGAGAGATCCCATATCCTAATTGGAAATAAGCCAACATCCACCATGAAAAGAGCTATGGCGGCAGGGGCTGTCCGTGTGTGGGCTACGTGGTGTGTGAACTAACAGAGGATTAGAAAAGTCTAGTCAACAGTATGGGAAGCAAAGTCAGTGGGATACTAAACCCTTCTGGAAAAATGTGTTTGAGCCTCCCTCATAGTCTGTAACTAGTCCTGAATCCCCTCTGCCACGGACACTGTCAGCCATAGAAAACTTTCTAGAAATGAAGAAGTTAGAAAAGCTATTAAACACAAATTCATGCAGCTCTGTAGCAATGGCAATATCCACGTCTATCATTTTTCACAGAGCTGCTCAGCTTTGTTCCCGACCAGTGAGACCAAGCAAACAAGCAAACAAGACAAGCTGGGAGAAAACTCGGAACGTAACCATTTGTGCGGCGTCACTATAAACATCACAATGGATCATTTTTCAAAACAGGTTATAGGTCAATGTTAGGCAGCTCCAAAAATACCCCACATAATCGAAGAAAACCAAACAATCAAGATTTCTGAGATGGTTCATAAATCTTTAGCTTAGTCCAGCCAAAGGGTTATTTCAAAATTATACAAACTATTCAAAAATTAATGCACTTCCTCGAAGTTTCCAGTTATTTGCAAAGATGGCCCTCCCTCAAAGCTAGTATGCACTTTGGCTGGGCCAGGTCACTCCGTTGGTTAGAGTGCTGTCCCGATGCGCCCAGGTTGGGGGTAGATCCCTGTCGGGGCACATACAAGAATCAACCACTGAATGCATGAATGGTTGGAACAACAGGTTGATGTTTCTCTCTCTCTCTCTTTCAAATCAATAAAATAAAAAGTAAAAAAAAGTAAAACTAGTACGCACTTAAAGGATAAACTATTTTAACACAGAAGTCTTCAGTTGTATTATTTAGTTCTTTCTCTCTATATAAAATTATATATAATAATATTGATGTTTTTTATAGAATTATCTACTTATTCATACATTTTAAAAATATTTAGTTTTATTATTATTTTTTTTTATTTTTAGAGGGAGGGAAAGGCAGTGGGAAAAGAGAGAGAGAGAGAAACATCAATGTGAGAGCAAACATTCGGGCTGTCTCCTGCACACCTCCTACCTTGGATCGAGCCTACTACTTGGGCATGTGCCCTGACGGGGAATAGAACTAGCAACCTTTCTGTGCATGGGACGATGCCCAACCAACTGAACCAGGGCTTACTCGTACATTTTTGCTACAGAAATTTAAAAATGCTTGAGCCTGGGGCGCTGCCGCCGAGGCGAATGGCGATGGTGTATAATATCCAGGACACACACACTTACATGTTTATTAAATTGCTCACCTGGTGCAATTTTCCCGTCCTGAGCGGCAGGGCCGTCTTTCAGCACATTCTTCACCTGCAGGAACTCGTCAGGCCTGTCTCCTCCGATGATGGTGAAACCGAAGCCCATTGTGCTTTTTTTCAATGATGCCCGGACCAGGATGCCTTTAAGCTGGGACGGATCCCGTGTGAAGTGGGACTTTTCTGTGTCTGTGCGAAAATGAGAAATGGGTTTGAGAACAAAAATCCCTACAATGAACAGGGCCCTTGAAGGCAATATTCAAGGTCATCTATATAATTTAAATATAACGAACCACAGAGAAAGAAAAAAATTAGAGGGACTCTAATGTAATAGAACAGTTAGAATTTAAATTCATAACCTGAATCACTGAAAAATAAAACTCAGCGAGTGTCATTACTCTTTTCTAAGGTTCTTCCATGTTATTTGAAAGGTAAATGCACCTGCTTTTCCTCCTCCTTGTTTGTACTTATCTCCTCTCACCCCAAAGACTCTCTTATCTGGAGTCAAAGTGGGAGGGACAGCTTAGTATTAAGCTCCTGAAAGTCAGGGACTCGAACTCTGCGTCCACTCCACTTGGTACGCACTGCTGTGAGCTCCTGAGGGCAAGACCCGTCTTACCCCTAATCGCTCCCCTCCCTTCCCCGCCCCCAGTCGGTTTTGAATACCATATGCCTAGCAAAGCACTGGGCATATGGTAGGTGCTCAAAAATATTGGTTGAACTAAAAATATTTGGCTAAATCAAATGAAAACTTAAGGGAGGGGACTAGGAGCAGCTATAAGAAAGAATGTTTCTCTCATGGGCAACGGAGGTGGGGAGCTACTCAACCTCACAGTATGACCACAAAGGCCGTTAATAGGGCTACTAATGACAGAGGGAGGAAGGGAGGAGATGGGGAGGGGTGAATAGAATGTGAGAAATTTCTGGGCAGCGTTTTCAAAATACGCATGGGCGAGGCTCCCCAAATTCTCAGGATCTATTGTTTAAAAATGTTCCCCACGTGATCCTAGTATTATTAACACCTTCCCATTTGAGAGGCAGGTAATATGGTGACTTTCTTTAGTATTTGTTCATATCAGTTAATGAAGGATCCTGAATGGGTTCTGGTATCAGACCTAAGCAATTAGCTTGGGAGACATAATGAATGAGAGATCTGACACTGCCCTGGCCTTAAATTTTACTACGAAACAATTCGATCTTCACATCAGAGCCTCAAACCCATAGCAAAGGCTTCAGTCCCGGCTCCCAACAATTTCACACTTTCTGTGTAAGCAGCATGAGAAACCTCAAAACCTCTGCTGCTTTACTACGATTAGTCCTGTTTTTACAGCAACAAAAATTAGACGTTCTCTGTTGAATGTGAGAGCCCCAACTACGAAAGGCTCAGTCGCTTTCCGTTCGTTCAGTATATGAATGTCATGGTCAGGAAAGACCTCTACCTGGTTTGGAAGGCCCCGTATCAGCCTGTCCTGACTGCTTTTTCCTCTTGGCTTCCTCCACTGGGTTCTCAAACTGGGTTTTCTGGTTAAGGTGGCTGTAAATGGAGAAAAGAAAATAGGCATTTCAGTTTAAGATGGAAGAGTTACATTATTTTATTTTATTTTTAATATATTTTATTGATTTTTTTTACAGAGAGGAAGGGAGAGGGATAGAGAGTTAGAAACATCGATGAGAGAGAAACATCGATCAGCTGCCTCCTGCACACCCCCTACTGGGGATGTACCCGCAACCAAGATACATGCCCTTGACCAGAATCGAACCCGGGACCCTTCAGTCTGCAGGCCGACGCTCTATCCACTGAGCCAAACCGGTTAGGGTGAGTTACATTATTTTAAAACAGACTATCAGACCATTCTGTCACCATGGCGTAAGGGACAAATGGGTCCCTTCAGGCATGGGACACACAGGAGCTGACAGGCCACAGCGGGAGGGCTTTTGTAACAAAGGAAAGTTGGAGAAGGTGCCTAGCAGTCCAAGCTGTGGAGGCAGGCACTCAGCTTCATCAACGCACCCCAAATAGCCAACGGCAGCTTCAAACCGCAGGAGAAGCCCTCATACCGATGCAATCAGAGCTGTCTGGTAATGGATTAATTTTTTAAATAGCAGGAGGGTTTTACGTTTCTCTAAACTGAAGCAGCTGTAAAGACACTTCTGAAGAAATCCAGTACAGAGCCTTCTAGAAATTTACTGACTTTTCCACGGACTCACCTGCATTGACTTAGCAGCAACTAAGAAAGAGGTTTGCTTTTACCAAATGATAGCACTGAACAACTCTTCCACGCTTAAATGCTTTCATAATTATAAAATGATTAAATGGATTATGTAAAATACCACGCAAGTTTAACTGGCCCTGCTGAATTGGGGACATTCACAGTGGACTCCTGGAAAGTGTACAAGTCTACAGCGAAAAGCAGAACAGAGGGAGACGAACGGGGTGAGCGATCAGCCAACAGGAGTCGGGAAGCATCACCGAGGGACAGGGCACTGGTTACCCGGTCGTGGTAAAATGCAACCACTGCCCCAGGTGCTTAGGATCACCAACGGGTCTAATACAGAAGCGACGGACGGGAATGACATTCGAGCACTTCCAAAGCACAGATCTATTTCAGCCAAATGATACGCATTATCCAGTGAAACCTGTTTTTAAAGAAGTGGCGTTAGTGAACACCAACAATTAAACATCACGTCAACAGAATTTCACATTATGATTGCCTTTAGAGGGGCTGAGGTTTATAGAATCTGCACAAAAATAGTCACGCACTTGGATGATTACTTTGCCACGTGTGGACATGAAAGGTGGAGGCGGGGGAGCGGCTAGGCCTCTGTGTCTCTGTGTCTCGTGCAGTGTTGACGCCGAGACAAGATGCGCTACCTCGTCTCGGAGCTCTAACGGAGGCAAGTTCTGCGTGACAGACACTCTTTGGGTTCTGATGTCACTAAAACTCAAGCATGTTTCTGCCTCTTACCACGAGGGGCGCCTTATCAGCTGAGCTACCTGCAACCCTCTGAGAAAATGAAGACGTCTGGTGTTAGGCGAGGTACTATTTTTATACTTATTTATTAAAAACTGACATTTTCGTATTCTTGAAAAAATAAAACAACCAGAAACTGACCCTTAAAAAAAAAAAAAAAGAATAAACCTGTTTAGCAAGGACCTTGGCTCACCCCAATGCCATCTAGGGCTAGAATGACTTTCAGCCCAGGCATTAGAACATAAAAGTAGTCATTTGTATTTGTCCTCTTTGCAATGAGTGGGAGAAGAGACCACAAGTATGCAAATGAGGAACCCTGAAAATTCTCTGACAGAAGAATCTAAGATTGTCGCTGAAGGGAGTAACTGCACCTGTCACCGTAGGTACCTAGATCAATGCCACCCAAAAACAAAACAAAAAAGTAAAAACACTCTCCTTTCCATTCAGTTACTATGTAATCCACACTATTGCTAAATGGAACAGATTTTGTTTTCCATAGAACTAGCTGTGAAGTAAGAGAGGAGATGGAAGATTATCAGAAAAATTAAACAAGGGTAGCAAAGAAGCATGATCAGATATATCACATATAATTCGGAATCTCATCTGCACTAAAGGTCCGTGTATGCTATGCGGATTTTAAAAATTCATCTCAGCAAACAAAACCATTATTCTTTTAGGAAGAACCTGAGATATTAGAGCAGACGTCTATTTGGACTTTGTCACCGAAGTGCACTGAAGCATTTGATGCGAAACAATAAGAAAACATTATTCCTAATACATACAGGCATTCTTTGGGAAGGCCTTTCGTCACATTTTTGGAACAATTTCATTTTCAGAAAGAGATTAATACGCTTCCGAATCTCGTACAATGAACTAAATACCGACAGAGAAACACTGCCACCGCAGTTGGTGCTACTACGGCGAGGCTCCTGCCAAGAGCCATCTCCGTGCCATCTGGTTTGACAAACGGAGAGAGCCAGAGAGTGGCCATTCAAGTAACAGCTTTTTATCTCCATCAGCAAACTCGCCGCGGATGACTGCGAGGCCTGCGGTCCAGATTCCAACCTCACTCATCTGGGAACCCAGCCACATTCCACAGCTCCGCGGGCTCCACGGGGACGTGCCTCTCGAGCACAGCCTGCTCTTCCTTCATCCAATCAATCACCCTCCAGTGAAACGAGCCGGTTCTGGGAACAACCACAGCCAATCCTGTCGTGCTGCTCTGACCCGGACCTCCGCGGCCACCGGGGTGGGTCGCTCCAGGGTCTGCCCTGACGTTGCTTCAACATTACAACCTTAATGATGACCGCATCCTCGGGCCCAAGGGTTTCTAACAGGCAAAGGGCTTTCACCTCCCGACCACGGGTTCGAATGCGTTTGGGATGGACGGTAAGAGCATGAGGACCATTATCTCAGAAACCTCCGCTGTGCCCACCAATCCCAACAGACTAAGCTACCAGGGGGAAAATCTCACGAGACCTTTCTGGTTGGCCTTCAAATACGCCCTGGACTTAAAAAATAATTGTTTCTTTATTTTCACTACATATGCTTTAGAAAAACATAACCAAAGAGCCGCTGTATACTTTTCACATCACAGTAGCAGCAAGACATTAAATCGCACAAGGGACATACAATTAGCACAGCCTTACAAAGGAGCCAAAATACTGACGTTGAGAAGTTAGAGACCTAAGCGTCAAGCTAGTCACTTCCTTTGGGTACAAGTTACATTTTTAAGGATTTCCACAAACCTCCCTGACAATCCACACACACAAACACACACACACACACACACTGGAATAAACACTCGAGTTACTAGTACAACCGGAGTCAGAGGTACTTACTTTCAGGACAAATACCAGGAAGTGGCATTTGTTTTTGCCAACAAGTAATAAAAAATTAATAAGCCGTCATAAAGCTAGAAGGGTCTCAGGTTTGCTGCTTTTGCAGGTAATAATGTCATTTCGCCTTCACTTCCCAGGCAGCAGGTTCAGGCTCCTGTTTCCCGGGAAACAGTAACATTTCTCATGCAGCTGTTTGCCTGGCACTAGATGCCCGAGGTCAGAATTGTATCGAGAGCATTTGGAAGGAAAGCAGCCCCAATGGTCATAACAACAATTCGATAAAGGGAGAACGGAGAGAAGAATTAGATGTTGACGCCATCTTAATTTCTCAGGCTAACAAAGGCAGGGGCTTGGAATGCCCGCCAACATATGTGTTTAAATTTAACCAAAACAGCTGTGTAAGGAGCAACTTTCATTCATCTCCCCCCCCCCCAAAAAAAAATCCCTTACTACATTTTCCTTGGTTCATTCCTTAAAAGAGAACACTTTTAATCAGACACTTCAGCGCTCTGGGTCACATGGAACATGCTGCCCTTACAGTTCCCCACTGTTCTCGGACCCTACAGCGTCCGTGCTAGAAAGGCCTCAGCGTTCACCCGTCCCGCGCCCCCACCCCACAGCCCGCTGTCCACCTCTCTCGGTGGAGGCTGTAGTAGCGCCCATAACTACTCATCATCCGGCAGCTTCCCTCTCGATTCCCAATAGATTAAGAGAAGTTGGGGTAAATTCGACCAAGAGCTGAAGCTGATAGGAGAGTATGGGCTCCGAAACAAACGTGAGGTCTGGAGGGTCGAGGCGGGACTTCCCGAAGGGTCTACTGAGTTGGGGTAAATTCTATACTTACTTGTAAGACTCAGAGCCAACTCCTTCCCTCTCGATTCCCTCCAGAGCCAACTCCAGGAAGCCCAGCATCGGTGAGTGCGGCTCAGGCCCTCCCCCCGCCTCCCCTCCCGGAAAACCCTGCGAGCTGACGAGGGGCATGGGGTCTGCACTGCGGATGCCCTAAGGCTGCATAATCGCGGAGGAAGCACAGTTGGGAGGATATGAACCGAGGGAACAGACTTACTCGACATAGTATGTCCCATACTGAGGGTCCTCTATCTTTTCCCAGCCATAAGGAAGTTCTGTAAGAAAAAAAAAAGAAAAAAGAACTGAGTGAAATGCCAGATTCAAAACCGACAGGAGAGGACTTGCCAGTGAGTGAACTGACATTTCTGGGAGACAGAGAGCTGAGGGCTCCCTTTCCAAGAGCAAACAGTTTGAGTCTGAGTGGCTCCAAGACCCCCAGCGATGCCGGAAACCATGGACAGTGCCCGACCCGATCCATACTGCCTGGTTTAAAAAAGTGAAAAGGTGACATAAAACTCATCAGCTCTGCCGTGTTCTTACTGTTCGCTTGGGCTTACGTATTTGTATGATCTTCAATCGGTACTATCTTTTGCAGAAAAATTTTAAAGTCACCTTTCAATTTGGTCTGGATTAAAAACCGTGCAACATGGTCTTTAAATCCACGGAACGGACACAGTCAACTGCAAAAGTCCACGGTGCCCTAGACGAGAGTAAGGCACTCTGGGTGGGTCTGTGATAATCACATAGAATCACGTGTAGGATTGCCAATCTGTCTCTAAAGTAGTAGAGAAGCTTAATTTACTTTTTTCCTAAAAGAAACATTATGGAAAATAAGTTCTAGCACTTTTTCCCTGTACACCAAAAGGTAGTTTGAACACCGACACTCTGGTGGCCACTGGCATTAGGGATGTATTGGAGAAGTAACTGAAGAAGGTAAGTCTAAGGATAATGCAAGTGTGTGGTGATCAGAGGAATGGAGAGACAGATGTAAAAGAAAAAGCATGGAGAGAAAGAGGATAGATGGGCAGACAGCTATGTGGAAAAGCAAATACAGCAAAGTGTTCGTTGTAACATCTCAGTGGTGGACACACATGTGTTCACTGTACAGTCCTATCAATGGGTCTGTATGCTGGAAAATTTTCATACCAATATACTGGCAAAATGTAGAAAAGGAAAGAGCCATAGGGACTGGAAACTGTATACAGGGAACAGAGCAAGAGAAGAGGAAGCAGATATGGCTGCAAGGATGTGGGCGCAGGTGACTATGCGGATGGTGTCGATGACAGAAGGAGGGGTGGGTGACTTCGGGAGAAAAATGTTTAGTTTGAAATACAGTTATTTGAAGTGCTAGTCGGACAATAAAAAAGAAAGTCAATAGGAAATACAGAAATAGCATTTAGAACCGAGGACAATACTGGAAATGTAGATAAGGGACCCAACTACAGTGAATCGATAGTTAAAGCTACGGAAATACACTCTACAGGGAAAACAGGAAGCAGCAGAGAATTGAACTGAAACAATTAGTGGGCAGGAAACAGGGGGAGAGCAGCGAGAGAGACATGGCTGAGAAGACTAATACCACATTCACAATCGTTAAACAGTCCAAGTCTATAGGGTCATACATGCCACTTTACCTACAGAGGGCTGATTTCACCATCAAAAACTTACTGCTGAAAACCTTAGACACAAAGGGGGTATGTTATAAAAATGATTTAAAAAATTATTTCTTAACGTAATAACAGGTGTCGATGAGGTTGTGGAGAAAAAGGAACCCTTATTCACTGCTGGTGGGCATGTAAACTGGTTAAAACCACTATGGAAGACAGTATGGAGCTGCCTCAAAAAATTAAGACTAGAGTGACCATGTGACCCAGCAACCCCTCTTCTGAGTAGCTACTTGGAAACTTTGAAAATATTGATTTGAAAAGATATAGGTGCCCCTATGTTCACTGCAGCATTATTCACCGGGGCCAAGACATGGAAACAACCAAAGTGCCCTTCGATAGATGATTAAAGAAGATGCACATATACACAATGGAATAGAGCCTTTGTCTTGACATAAATATTTTAGAATCAGCTCATCGATTTCTTCAAAACAAATTTTATTCTTCTGCAGTCTATATTCAGGAAGGCATAGCAAACCATTTGGTTGGGGTAAATTCTATACTTACTTACTTGTAAGACTCTGCCACTAAATACAGTCTATAATATACAAGGCAGAATTACTATCCAATAATAATAATTACCCGATGATTCTTAGAGGAATAATTTTACTACTGAGCAGTAAAGACTGTTTGTGGGGTTGGGTTTATTAAAGACTTTCATTGGGTTCCTAACGCTGCTCTAAATGGCTAGGGATTAGCCAGATACTATCCATCCTAGTGATACTAAATTAAATATATTTTTGAAGGCTCGACAGGCATGATGAGGCTACCCTGGGGCTGAGAATGTACCGAACTTATTAAAATATTTATTTGGAATTTTTTTGAAGTTTGTCTTTTGGAATCTACCTCCGTCTTCACAGTCCTCGGGGGCTTTGGCTTTCTTACAAAGGCGAGGGTCCAGCCAGGTGGTCGTTTTGGTATTGTGGCTGCAGAATAAAGATTTCAATTAGAAACAGTAAAATACAGATGAAGAAAAATATATCAAAAGCAAAGATTAAAAGTGACTAAAAGGTAGATGTTGTTAGAAGAGTCATCTCCTACAGGCTCTGTTTTGCCTACCTCTGACTCAATAATCCGACTGTTCTCAGTCTGTGGCTTCAAAACTGCCATGAAGGGGAGGCAATGCTAGAGGCACTGATTTGAGGATGGAGATTCTAAGGAGGGATAGGCAGCAAGGACAGAATAACAGGCCCTCTCTAAGTGAGGGTGCGCCACAGCCCCTGCCGTGCAGCAAACAGCAGGAAAGGCTGCGTGAGAACCTGGTTCGCTTGCTGCCTGAATTCCTTCCTCCTGCCCTTCATAAACCGCTGTATTTCTTGAGTCCCTGTGACGTGTGGACACTGCTGGGGGCTGGGAACATGGAGATGCATGATCAGACCGAGCCTGTGGACTCACAGGGCTATTTAAAATAACACGTAGAATGAAATGAAGAGAAAGCTCTATAGTGTCTGTTTCTGTGGCATTGCAAGTAACAAGGATGGGTACAGCCCGGCTGGTGTGGCTCAGTGGTTGAGCATCGACCTATGAACCAGGAGGTCATGGTTCGATTCCCGGTCAGGGCACATGCCCTGGTTGCGGGCTCGATCCCCAGTAGGGGGTGTGCAGGGGGCAGCCAAGTGATGATTCTCTCTCATCATTGATGTTTCTGTCTCTCTCTCTCCCTTTCCCTCTCCCTCTCTGAAATCAATAAGAAAAAATTTTTTTAATGAAGGGTATAATTAAACTCAACTCTATGAAACTGTTTTTTATCAGTATGGACCATGTATTTAATAGGAAGAAAAGGTGGAACAAAAAGATCACCCCACCCCCCTCTTTAAGGAGTAGGCCGTGGACGCCTTCAAAGAGCAGTGTCTGCCTGAGCTCACCACTGGTCACCCCGGGTTACTGCGGGCCAGGCCACCGTGCAGTGGGCACTGATGCTACAACCACTGCTGGGCCGACGGTGCTACCGTTTAAGTGTCTGCAATATGAGGATAGGAAAGCAAGAAAAAAATCACCAAAGAAAAATACATAGGAAGGCAACAAAATATAAATGACAGCAATTCTCAAAGAGTGCGAGAATAGCATTGTGACAAGTTATCTTTTCTTGGTGTCTATATCCTGAGATCAACTCGCTCATCTCGACACTGGCCGCTCCTAGGAAATGGAGCCAGTGGTTTCCGGAAATGAATCAGATCTCCCACGCCTTTCCTCACCCCCGCGCTACTGAGAGGGCTAGCTAGGCAGCCCTCCCTGCACAGTGCCAGGCCTGACTCTCGACTGTGGAAGAGACCCTCCTGTATGCCGAGTATGGGCAATCTAAGTAGGAGACCCTGGGGTTCCTTCTAGAAAGTCTGCTACCCATTCTGTCAGAGAGAATTTCCCCAAACGAAAACTGGCGAAAGCAATTTTAGTAAAATGAAAAGGGTCAGGGCTCCACTGAGGCCTAGCAGCATGCCTACTGTTGAAAACAAATAATGGGCATATCTTACAAAACCCAATTCATAACTTTCAGAAAAGCTTAACTTTGGTTTCAATGATCCAAAACTTGTACCGCTAGATTAGCAGGTGTAGGCAACCCACTGGGATTTTACCCACCGTTTCTCAAGGGAAAGACTTGCCCCTCGGGGCTGTACCTGGAACATAATAGCTAAAGACTGCAGACCGGTACTGTTTACTGACAGATGCATGACTTAACGGCAGCAGTCACACAGACCAAACACATGAGCTGCAGCAAGCAAGAGGGCTTAATCTCGGTCTGGAGGAGGAACACGACCCATCCCCAGAGGAGCAGGACCGGGAGTGGAAGGAACAGCGGGAACAGAGAGAAGATGGCAGGGAAGGGCACGCGCACGCAGAGGTAGGAGCGCCTCACTGCAGGTGGGCTCCCATTAGGTTTGCCTGCCTGGGATGGGGGCGTGGCTTTGATTTTAAAGAAAAAAGCTTCCATATATGGCAGTCTCTAAAATAAAAATGTGACTTTACTCAGTGTTACATGCATATACTTAACTTATCCTTCGTAATGTTAAAGCAAAGCTACTTACACACCTAAGAAGACTCTTTGGAGAAAAGAGATAGAGCTGCTGGTCTGTGTCTGTGCTGTGTGTCCACAGTGCAGGAAACGTGTGCTCATGTCCCTTTTACAGAGCCTCAGAGATGAGCACCTGCCTGGGCACCTTCCCAGTATGTGCTCAAGTCCTGTGCTCATCTTGATTTGCTATGATCAAAGGTCTCTTCTCCCTGCTCATGTACTCCCAGGTGTATGCTGGCTTTAGCCCATTCACCTTCAGTGGTTCTCAACCTTCTGGCCCTTTAAATACAGTTCCTCATGTTGTGACCCAACCATAAAATTATTTTCGTTGCTACTTCATAACTGTAATGTTGCTACTGTTATGAATCGTAATGTAAATATCTGATATGCAGGATGGTCTTAGGCGACCCCCGTGAAAGGATCGTTCGACCGCCAAAGGGGTCGCGACCCACAGGTTGAGAACCGCTGACCTAGAAAGACATCTGTTGTATGAATCCCCCAACCCCATCATTTACTCACTTCTCCCAGTTTTCAGGGGGAGGTGCTGTCAGATTTGATGTTTCATAATCTGCTTCTAAAGATATTCTAGCTCCTGTTCGTGACTCTACATCTCACTCAGGGGGTTAGTTCCCAAGTCAGCATGAAAGGCAAAGTCTAAATTACCCTTGAAAAACTCCTCAAATTGGCCACAGAGAAGAGTATACCTGATTTTGTCTATTGTGTGTAATTCTGGTCCTTAATGTTTACATAAATATATAACGAAATCAATAATTTACCACACATGGTAAAAAGAACATCCTGTCCACAAAATCTATGTCTTTGAAATGCTAGACTCTCACTTGGTACAGCAAGATGCTTATTCTATCTGAAGGATGTGGAATTGGGGACCAATTGAGGAAACCCACTCAAATCTCTCACTCCTAACCCATGTCTGTGTATATGTTCTTTTGAGTGTGGTGTCCAGCCCTCAGTATTTTAATTAGTGTATTCTGTAACTTCACTACTTCGATATTCTACCTCCGGGCAAATTCGCTTAAAGATGAGAATTACAGCTGCATGAGAATATAAAAATACTTCAAATGAAACTTCTAATACATTATTTATATCATATTCTCAGGTGCAAGCAATGGAAACCTTTAGGTTGACTGAATACATACGGTACTCCGTATCTCTGTAAATATAAGCATATTAATAGTGCTTATTCATAAAATAGTTTTTTGTGGGGATTTACATTATACCAATTCTTCTGAGGACCAGTGATTTTCCCCCCTCCTATACTATTTGACTCTGTTGCCTGAAAACATCAACCCCCATCTCTAGGACTGAAAATATGTAGCTCAGATAAGAACTATGTCCCTCTCATACGATAATTCCTGAAATGTGTGTTAAGTGGGACAATATACACAAAAGTTAAAAAACAACAACAACAAAACAAGCGAAGCAGCCCTGGCCTGTGTGCATCAGTCGGTTGAGCATCGCCCCATGCACCCAGAGGTCACCAGTTCAGTTCCTGGTCAGGGCACACGCCCACGTTGTGGGCTCCATCCCCAGTAGGGGGCGTGCAGGAGGCAGCTCATCAATGTTTCTCTCTCTCACCAATGAAAGCATCTTTTTTTAAAGAAAGCAAACCAAACCTTCTTTATTCCTTACATTTTTCATTCTTAGTGATACATCTGTCTTTAATCCTCTTGTTTTCATAAAACCAGAGATCAAATACACTATTCCTTCATCTAAGTCAAGTAAAAACAAAATACCGTCCAGGAGAAAAGTCAGATTAAGAATCAACTATAACATGGATGGAAAATATTTTTAAAGAAAGAAGAAAGACATGGAGGCCTTGAGAAAGGAGGTTAAGCATGTTCTCAGACAAGCCTCCCCGTGGCAGGGCTGGTGAGAGGAGATACAGACATCGGCTTACTCAATGAAGTAGATCATCCCCGTGTCCGTGTAGGCCATCTCCCAGTTTTTGGGCAGTGGTTCCAGATTCTCATCTCTCATCATGTAATTTCTGAAGTCCATGGAGCTATTGGTTTGGTTGTAACTCGGGACGGTCTTCATCCAATCCGATGACTCGGAATGCCTCTCTCTGCTTTCTATCAAAACAGAACAGTATGCAAAGCAGGTGAGCTTATACTGTCTTCAAACACACTCTTCATTTGTAACAAAATGCCAAATATTTATTACACATTTCCTTGTCTTTTGGGTCCACATTCTGCTTTAACTTTAGAAAAAACAAACAGAAACATACTGTTTTATTTATTTATTTTCCATTTGCTAAGTGACATTAACCCCGTACAGCACCTTGGGGGCTAGTCTGGGAAAGAAGCAAAAAACAACTCTAGAATCAAGTCAGTTCATACTGAACACAGAGCAATCAACAGGACACTAACAACAGCCCAGTAGCACGTGTACAATCCCTTCACGTGTCAGGCGCTATTTTAAGCGCTTCACATGTATTAACTCACAATCCTCACTCAAGCCTGTGAGTAGGTCTTACTATTCCCATTTTATAGATGAGGAAACCGAGGCACAGGAGGTTAAGTTAATGTAGTCAAGGTTACGCAGCTAATCGACAGCAAAGCCAGGATTCCAACCCCAGTGGCCTATGCTCTTAACTGCAACAACAAGCTGCCTCGTACCCATGTAACACAGGCCTTTCAGAATGACACGCAGTAGACTTCCTGTTGTTAAATATAATTTTCTGCTGTTGACAGTGAAATCCTTTTTGAGTCCCAGAGTCCATAAGGTAGGTAATAACACTAAACGTGGGTTACTGTAGGGAGTGCACATTTCATGAACTTGAAACTTGTTTCTAGAACTTACAAGATAACCCAACTGTAATAAGCCCGGACTGCAGTCAGTGCCTCCGCATCAGAGACTCTGAGAGGCGGCCTTCGACATCCTTCTACAGCCTTCCTTGTCCTTACAGTATTTGCACTCCACCCATCCTTTACCTAACCAAGCGCCATCATCCTTTAACCCCACTACTTACCACCTCTCACTGCTCCTCACCCCCATCCACGCCCTAGCCATGTCCTCCTTGCCCTACCTACCCAAGAACACGTACATTCCCACACTGGGACAAATTCCCGGTCTCTAATGCCAGTCTTAAACATTTAAAGATGTTAACAAACTTAGTTCTGTGGGTGAGCAAAGGTGACATCAACATCAGAAGGCTCTACGATGTGATGAGTTCCCTTAACAACCCCTAAAAAATAAGATGTGAATTCACCTAAACATTTTCAGACTTCTTTTCACCCAAATATATTGGGGTAATACATTAAACATCAAACGTATGAAGTGGCATAATTATGTGGGATGCTAGGACTATAAAACAGGACTCACATTCTGGAGGGGAACGCAAACAATGAATGCACTGAAACAACAAATACAGTATAGACAGCAAATGTTAATCACTGATAAAGAAAACACCGGGATGCTTTGGGGAAATGATCAAATTGGATACCAGTGAAATACATCTTTTAGTTCCTGCTACATGCCGGGCCATGTCTATGCTGCAAGGGATACAACAATGAACAAAACAAGCAAAGCTTTTATCGTCATGTTTTGAATGAAAGTGTTATAAAGGATAGCACTGAAACCAGGTCTACTGCGATTCTGTGGCTTCCTACCCATACTCTCAATTAGAAGTCTCCTAAGCAATCGCCACATGTTGGGGGGAATTTGAAAGAGTAAGATTCTCTACCAATAAGTTCCTGTTGGTTTTGCATTTAATGAAAAAATAGGAGAGTCAAGTTCGGAAATTTTCTTTGAGTGGTTCTGAATGTGAAGTCAAAGTACTGCTAGCAAACCTCTCGGATAACGTTGACTAGCGCATCTCCAAAACTCTGTGCTTTGTTTTGGTTGAAGGCTGTATCTTAAAACATCTACTTTTGTTCATATCCTGCAAAGTAGGATGTAGGCCAACAAGATTCCCATATTCCAGCTTCGGAAGTGAATCCCACATCGTTTAAGCAGTAGGGCAATGCCATCTTACATGATCACTATGGATAGCTTATCACGGACGTACCGAAATGACCACTTGGAGCAGCTTTACAAGATGATGGACAGAGATACACTTTGTTCCACACAAAAACCTTTACAAAAACATCTGAGAACCCCACCACTCACTCTGCATGGGCTTTGTGGGAAATCTTACTACCTCCAATGCAGGGTCACGTTAAAGCCAACCGGGAGGGTCACTTAGAAGTCCTTCATCCCTTTACGAACCTGCATGTCCAGTGCCATTAATGGCTTCCTTGTCCTCATCGTCCTCCTCTTCGGGGAGAGAGCTGTCCATCCTCTCCATCTTGCTGACAGAGGTGGTTCGTTTCCTTTGGGATTCGGTGTCAAACTCATTATCAAAGAGGACCTGGTCCACAGGATCGGGCTGGAAAGGGCTGGGCTCTGCTGGAGGCTTGGGAGTCCCATAGAAGTTTCCTAAGTGAACACAGGAACAGCAGCTGGGAACACTGACGTTGAACCGAGAGTCAGAGCAATCTGACCCCGTGGACGTCTCTGCCCTGTTATCTTACGCTGAATAGCCAACCACCACCGGCCAAAAGGAGGCCAAGACACTTCCTGGAAGAGGAGGAGGTAGAAAGAGCAAAAATAACTGATTTCCTAAGTGCCCTTCACCATAGAAAGCAGTGGTTCTCAACCTTCCTAATGCCGCGACCTTTTAATAGAGTTCCTCATGTTGTGGTGACCCCCAATTTCATTGTTACAAATTGAACATAATTAAAGCATAGTGATTAATCACAAAAACAATATGTGATTATATATGTGTTTTCCGATGGTCTTAGGCGACCCCTGTGAAAGGGTCGTTCGACCCCCAAAGGGGTAGCGACCCACAGGTTGAGAACCGCTGATATAAAGCCAGGAAGCTGACTTTGTGTGTGTGGCTTATTTATCCCAGCAGGGCTGTTTTGCAGGGCTTCTAAAGTAGGGCCTAATTTGTGAATTTAGATGCATTAACGCTCCCGTGTAAGATTCCCTGGCATGAAAGTGGGAGTAAAGAAGAAGGAAACTAACTCAAATAATTGTGTGCTGATGTGCAACATGATGAACTATTTTGGTAAGAGGAGGAAATATGTGGGCAAAGGATGAAGCTAAGAACTACCCAGTCTGTGTTGAAATGTAGGCTGTTTCTGTAAAAGTAATTTTTGAAAGTTTTCCTGAGATTCTAATTATATCATTTTATCTGACAATTTGTTGAACAAATAGAGACATTATTAGCATATTTCAATATTGGCTTACTCTCAGGGAAGCAAGAAATGCTTTAATATGTTAAGTCTTCAGGATCAGTCATTTTTGCAGTAAAAATAAATGTTCCAGAATAGAATGAGAACAATGGAATATCTTCTCAATTTGTCATGTAGCTCTCATTAGGCAGCCACATATAATGGGAAAATGCTCAATAGATCTACCTACGTTAACAGTTTGTGGCTCCTGCTAGTTTTGACCTTGTATCAATCACTATGCTAATGTTATAGGAAGATAAATATGATTGTGGAGTAAAATATTCATGACCTTCTTTTATTTTTTAAATCACTTTTTGTCTCATCGAATTCCTTGGCTCCTAAGGAGGCAATTAAGATGCTCTTTCCCACAACATAAATCACTGGGGATATAATGGCTTCCTTTTCCTGGATGAAGAAAGCATGGGTTGTGGGTCGTAACACTGAGGCAAGTCTACAAATAACACAGTTTACCTTAGGTGGGACATGCTTCGAAGGGGAAAGCATGAGGGTGAATTCTTTGGAAATGTGACTGGAGGCGGGATTGTTATTCAAATGCTCAAGACAAAACAGTGGCATCAAACTATAAAGCTTTGCAACAACATTTCGCCTGCCTGACCCCACTACTCCCTTGCTCTCAAATCCATGTTTGAGATGGAGTCACTCCCGCCACGCAGATGACGCAAAGGCTGGCATCAAAACACATCTCTGTCGCTGAAGTAGAGCAAGGAACTGGTGGGAAAGTCAGTTCACACTTCTCTGGGGCAAAGGGCAGCGAGATGGTCCAAACGGAGGTTTGGTTGGGGATGAGGATGCGCTAGGAGTCCCTGCATCGTGTGCAGCAATACCATTACCACGGGACAGGGTGTGGACACACCATGACAATGGAAAGTCCACTTTTCCTGAGGATGGGAGTTTTACTAGAAACACATTGTAGTGTGTATATCCTTGGTAATTATTTTTTTTTTTTAGCTCTAGAAAGTTTAATTTTTTTCTAGGGTGAAAATGAGAAAAATTCAGGATATTGTGATTGTTATCCATAGACACTGATAAGATTTTAGGACTGGATCATAAATTCTGGCAGTTCCCTTATTTTTAAAAATTATTGGTATTAGTACTAAGCATGCTTATAAGTACATTCGATCTATTTTTCTTGAGTTATTGTTAAATAGGAAAATTGCAGATTACAGCAAGGTATATAATTACAAATTTTGTGAACCCTGACTATAGTTATTCACAGAAATTTTTTTTTCATCTTTGAAGCTGTATTGAGGCATTTCCTTTTTCTCTCTTTTCTGAAGGTGTTTTCATTTTTACAAAGGAACTATGAACTATTTTAAACATATATACAACCACGGACAATAGTCTTACAGGAGTATTGGAAACCTCCTCACTTAGTTACACATCCGCCGGGGACTAGTTTGCCGGATTCTTCCAGGTCTCCCCCTTTCCCCTTGGAGCACGTACATGTATGGTCACATACACCATTAAAGCCCTAACTTCCTGTCTCTGCCCTCCCACGCTCTCCGAGTCATCCTGAAGTTAGCATGTCCTTTCCCTGCATGTGTGTACGCGAGGACATACGTATAAGCACACATAACGTATAAATATTATTGTTCATAAAAGCTTCACAAGCATCCTCTGACATTTCATATCTTTTTTTCTAAAGAGCGTACTGCATGCATCCTTTTGCAACTTTCTTTTTATACAATTATATTCCTAAGACGTATTCCTGTTGACGCGTAGATTCTAGTTCACTTGAACTGCTGTAGGATAGTCCATTTTTATGAACAAATTAAAATGTACTTGGTTGATTCCCCTATGAGAAGAGAGTTGTTTCCATCCTCTCGCAAACAGTGCTACAGGGACTATTCTGGAACTGTCCACACGTGCGCACAGACAGGGTTTCCCTATGGGCATCCGCGCATCTTGGAAGTTACTAGCTGTGGCCAAGGCGCTCTCCAAAGGAATGCATCATTTTATACTCTCGCCAGCTGCCTATGGGAGTTTCCATTCCCTCCATTATCAGCCTGTAAAACTGTTGTCAACATGATGGGTGTGAAATGGTGTATGATTGTTATTTCAATTTGCATTTCCTTTAATTGGGCACAATTTGCCACTTTGTCATATTTCTAACAGGCGCTTACACTTAACAGAAGAAAATATCTTTGTGATCTAAGGGCAGAGAAGGACTTCTTAAACAAAACTTCGAAAGTACAAATCATAAGGAAAACAGTGATAAACCCGGTGGACGAAAATTAAAGATTTCTGTTTATGAAGCAACACAGGAAAAGGTTATTGGGTGGAAGAAGAGGAAAAAATATCTGTATCCAATAGGGGATTAATATCGAAATAAATATGTAAATATCTAAGGAATGTCTGCCACTGGAATGTGGTTGAGATCCCATTTAAAAAAAAAAAAGACAGACACACCCTCGCTGGTTTGGCTCAGTGGATAGAGCGTCAGCCTGCGGACTGAAGGGCCCCGGGTTCGATTCTGATCAAGGGCACATGCCAGGATTGCGGGCTCGATCCACAGTAGGGGGCGTGCAGGAGGCAGCCCATACCAGGTTGCAAGCTAGATCCCCAGCCCTGGTCGGGGCATGTACCGAAGGCAACCAATTGATGTGTCTCTCCACTGTCTCTCCCCTCCCTTCCACTCTCTCTAAAAACCAATGGGAAAATATCCTCAGTGAGGATTGTGAACAAATGAATAGACAATTTGCAGAAGTCCAAAAAACTAACAAGCATATGAAAACATGCTCAAACTCTCTGACTTATACCACTTCTACAGCCATCGGATTGGCAAAATTATAAAGCTGGACAACGCCAAGTGCTGCTGAGGAGGTGGAGGCATTACTACAGCTGCTACAGCAACCAAACCTCGTGCAGTCCTGGCGGGAATGCAGGCTGCAGAGCTATCCTATCCACAACTACTTTGTCAGATGGGTACCAAACCCAGGATTCTGTCCCTGGGTATACATTCCACAGACATTCTCACACAGGCCTATGAGAAGACGTGTGCGAGGATGTTTGCTGCAACTTTAGCGGTGGTGATGGGGCGATGGAGACAATCTGGAAGTCCGTCACCAGGAGAGTGGTTAAGTGAGAGGCAGTGGATTCACGATAAAGGACTGTGCAGCAGTTAGAAAGCAATGAGTTACATGCAAATACAGATAGCAACATGTATGAATCTAAAAACAGTGATAAGTGAAAACAGTTAAAACCGAGTGAGATCTGGAACATAGTCCAGATGTAAATAATAAATACATGCACACAAAAT